TATAGCTTTCCCACACTCATGCAGCAAATACAATCTGATCTAGGAACGTACGACCACAGAAGGAGCCCCTGGCTAGGGAATCCAACTCACCAAGGAGATTATAATCTGTAGTAAAAGAGGGTTTAGAGACGCCAGTTGAGACCAAGGCCCCATCGTGCCAGGCAGACACACAGCAAGAGACAGTCCCTGTCCCAAAGTGTGTAGAGGCTAAATAGACAAGAGATGGGAGGGGACAGAGAGGTGAAGTGATTCCCCGCAAGACGATCAGTGACAAAGTTGAGAATACAGCTCCACTCTGCTAGTGTCTAGCCCAGTGGTTCTCAAACATTTGTACTGGTGACCCCTTTCACACAGCAAGCCTCTGAGTGCGACCCACCTTATGAATTAAAAACACTTTTTCATATATTTAGCACCATTATAAATTCTGGAGGCAATGCGGGGTTTGGGGTGGAGGCTGACAGCTCACAACCCGCCGTGTAATAACCTTGTGATCCCCTGAGGGGTCCTGACCCCCAGTTTGAGAACCCCTGGTCTGGCCCATGGGTTTAGTTGCAACACCGACCCAGTTGTTGGTGAGCAGGATTGAACCTGGGACCTCTGAAGCTAAATGCATGAGTCGCTACTGCATGAGCTATAAGCCACATGGCTCTTAGCTAAAGCTGTAGCAGACTCATTAATCTCTAACTAGTCTCAGTGCCACTCGAGGGGACAGAGCACCACACCCAGGAGGTGTGTGGGGGTTACATAGTCATCACACCACTCCCAGCTCAACCCCATCAGCTATAGCAACTTACCCACCGCAGCACAGCACTTGTACAGCGCCCTGGGAATGGATGACTCTGTGGCCCGGCATAAAGATTTGGAGGTTTTGTTGCCAGGGCTTTGCTGGGAGGGCATTAGGAGCACAGCAGGACTAGGGCTCACTGAGTGCTAATGGGCCAGTGGGCTGAGGAAACCCCTGATCTCCCAAGGATGAAGAGCAAGTGATTTTGCCTGCTTAAATGGAAATATTTTCCCCCACATGAACAGCCCAGCTTCCCTCTGCTTTTCACAATCTGGCGGGGGATTCTGCTTCTGTCTCTGCAGGTACAGACCCTCACAGACCTTTGTTTTTCAGCCAGCATGACATCTGCTCAGGCCAATACCTGAATGGCACAAACCAGGCATCATCATTTAAAATGGACCTAACTTCAGAATTCACAGCCAGATTCCCATGAAATTCCAGGGCCAGTGTTCCCCTGTGCAGCTCACGGGCCACTGGGATGTTTGAAACAGGGGCTTTGCTTTCGCCTCCTCTTGGCGACCTAAAAGTTCAAATCGCTGCTGATAGCTGCTAACCCCACTGCTACACTTGGGCTTTGCTTCAACACATTCCCTTTGGTCAGTGCCAGTTCCCTTCTCCTAGGATAGATCCAGAGGTGACAGTAAGCCGGTATGCCCTGGTACGGCGTACCGGTAAAAGCCGGTGCGCCGTACCAGGACCGGCTTTCAGAGAGGGCAATTTAAAGCCCTGGGGTAGCGGTGGCGGAGCTGCAGTGGGGATTTAAAGGGCCCCTGAGCTCCAGCCACTGCTAACACCCCCCCCCCCCGGGGCCCTTTAAATCCCAGCCTGAGCCCTGCTGCCCGAGCCCTGGGGTAGCGGCAGTGGCGGGGCTCTGGCAGGGATTTAAAGGGCCCCGGAGCTCCAGCCCCCGCTACCCTCCCGGGGCCCTTTAAATCCCCACCTGAGCCCTGCTGCCCAAGCCCTGGGGTAGCAGCGGCGGGGCTCCGGAGGGGATTTAAAGGGCCGGGGCGGTAGCTGCAGCTGGAGCCCCAAGCCCTTTAAATCCCCGCCTGAGCCCTGCTGCCCGAGCCCTGGGGTAGGGGTGTGGGGTGCTCTGGTGGGATTTAAAGAGCCCCGGAGCTCCAGCCACCCCTACTGTCCCGGCCCTTTAAATCCCCGCCTGAGCCCTGCTGCCAAAGCCCTGGGGTAGCGGCGGTGGGACTCCGGCGGGCATTTAAAGGGCCAGGGCGGTAGCAGGGCTCAGGCGGAGATTTAAAGGGCACAGGGCTCCGGCAGCTGCTACCACAGCGGAGCCCCAGGCCCTTTAAAGCTCTGCCAGAGCCCAGAGCCCTGGGGTAGCGGTGGCAGCCGGGAGCCCCCAGGGCTCCTCAGTGATTTAAAGGGCCCGGGGCTCCGCTGCAGCCCTGGGCCCTTTAAATCGCCCCCAAGCACCAGAGCTCCCAGCCGCCTCTGCAGCTGGTAGCTCGGGCGTGATTTAAAGGGCCCCGGGCTCCCAGCCCCCACTACCGCAGCTGGAGCCCTGGCCCTTTGAATCAAGATTTAAAGGGCCTGGGGATTTAAGGCCCTGCCTCTTCCGGTTGAGGCCATGCCCGCTGCTCAGGACCCCGGCATACCGGTAAGTCCTCTAACTGACTTTCGCCCCTGGATGGATCCAATTCTAACACAGTGCCAGCCTGGCAGATGGTACTGAGAACCAAGTGCAGTTCCCGCCTGTCGCCACCAGATGGCAATGTAGCTACACCCTTTGAAACGCTGCCTTTTCTCCCTGGGGTGGTCCAGAGTTCAGGCAGAAGGTTTCCCAAGTTGTGGCGAGTTCAGATGCATCAGACGCAAAAGAGTATTCACCGTCAAAGCAGGTTTTTTAATTTCACGTGGTGAATCTGGCTGTTGCTTGCCTCTCTCTAGGAGTTTATTGCCTTTGCATGTGGTTAACCGACCCGAGGAAAAGGCCCTTCAGCTTTATTGCAGAGCCGGATAAACGACCAGTGGTCCTGATCGCAGAGAGGAGTTAATTGGCACCTACCCATCCGTGTCTGTCAAGGACCAGCTTCTGCTTTCAGTGTCAATCCAGGGCAATGCAGAGCAGAACCCAGCCTGAGAACGTTACATCAGAGCAGAGAGTCCCCAGTGGGGTTTCGAAGCCATGTGGTCAGAACTGCTGAGAATGTGGCTTTGCCAGACTCTTCCTCCTAGCTGGGCAAGTGCTGCTGAGGGTCCACGCGGACAGGGTCATGCCCTGGCTTGGGCAATTTTCAGATGAGCTGAACTATGGCCTCGGGTTCCAAACGCCCCTCGCGCTCGGAGCTCTCTTCCTTCAGGGAAATCTGACGCCTGAGTCAAAGGTAATGTCCCAGCATGACTCTGACTCCAAATAAAATCTGCTTACACAACCCTGATGCAGTCAGGGCTGTGTGTGTGCACAAGAGAAACCAGCTCAGACAGTCTCCTGGGGCAGAGAGCCACCTCACAGTGACTCCTCCGACTGCTGTGGGAATGGCATTGAGAGGAGTCCAAAGGGGGCCCTCCATCCCAGGCCTCACTGTACTATCCTTGGGCTTGGGAGGATTCGGGAAATGTTGATTTCACCCTACACACATGAACCACCAGAAAGAAATATTTCCATGGAGAACTCTCGACATTTGCAGCTAACCAAAATGAGACAGATCTGCTTGAGAACCTGGCGTTTGATTTAAGGACCTTTACTGTGTCTGTTCGGATATGTGATGGTGACTATTGGTGATTTACCAGCTCTTAAGCTTTCACTTTTGAATCTCAACCTCTACTGTCATTCAATAATTATTGTGTGACCCCCCCCCAACTGCCTGATGCTCCCCCCATAATTGCCCACAACTGTGAATATTTAAATAGATAAATATTAAAAATACAGTTACAAGGAACCACAGATTTTAGCTGTTCAAATTATTAAAAAGTAAACATGGAAATCTGCCAAGCCCAACTCTGCTCCCCCGGGTTGCACCTGCCCAGATAGCCTCTTGTCACAGGCTGAGTCCCTCAATGCCAAAGCTTATCATTGGCCCTGGTGTAAGCCAGATCCTCCCTCCATGATTTCAGATCTGGTTCCCCACCAGAAGAGCCACTCTGGCACGTTTCTGCAAGTTCATCCCACCATCACAGACCCGTAACCCCAATCCCCAAAGCCTGGGGAGGCTGGAGCTGCGGTGCTGTTAGACCCACCATAGACCTAGAAACCAGCTGCAGTGTCTGGCTCTGGAGCCAAACTTCCCCAAGGTCTGGGATGGCTGGTTGCAAGTTGTGGTTTGGGCCCTTTGCTACTGATCCTCCAGTCGTGCCTGGCTACCTGCCTAACTGCCGTTTGCAGGAATGAGTCTTCCAGAAGGCTGGAGGGACTGGTTCCTGGGGGACGAGGTTTGCCCTCGATCCTGCATGCCCCTGATGGTGCAGGATTGCTGTGCTCCAATGCGTGCGAGCAGAGGGCCCGGGCAGGGAGATGTTAGAGATCCTCAGTGCTAGCGAGTCTCAGCCCCGTGCTCCCTGCCTGGCCAGGACACAGGGTAATGAAGCAGTGGGATGGGAAAGGGCTTTTCTGTGGAGTCAAGTGCTCCAGTGAGATCCTGATCACACTAAGCACACACGTAGCTACCCGCTCTCCTCTCAGCCCTGACACCAGCCACCAGGGCCAAGGGGCCAGCACAGCGTTACCCCCACGACTGTAGGAACAGGTCCCGCCCGGCTCATCGGTCCTGTTTCGCTGTATCGGTCATCGATCTCAGTCTTTCAGTTTGTGCTTGTGACCAGAGCTCCCCCCGAGCCATGTGGCTGCACCAGCCACACCCTGACAGAGGCACCAGGTGCCCTGGTGGAGATGCTTTCCCCAAGTAGGGGGCATGCCAGGCTCCCTTTGCCACATCAGTATGGAACATGCCACCCTCCCCTTGCTATGCCACATGGGGCATGCCAGCTGTCCCTGGCCACGTGCCGCCCAGGGGAGTTGCCCTCCCCTTCTCTCTGTCTCTCACACAAGAAGGGTGCGGGGAAGAGACAGGGCCAGATGATGAGGCATGTGAGCTCAGGAGTGAGCGAGGAGGAAGAGTGGGTGACTGAAGGAGGAAAGGGTGGAGGACAGGGTGGGATGGGGTGGCAGTGGGGGTGGGGCGAGGGGGATGATTATTTCCCTGTCACTTTTTCACATTTCCTGGCCCCAGCCAGCTTCCTCTTCTGGGGCACTCAGCCGCTCACCCACAGGCACAGATTGCACTGGTTAAGCAAGGCTTTGAGCTGCCTCCTCGCATCTCTCGCTCTCTTTTGCTTTCATTCGACTTTGTTCCTGCTTGTCCCTTTGAGACAATCCCAAGCTAGCAGCAGCCCAGAAAGCTGCAGAGGCATCACACCCCCTGGGGACGGTGGCTCCTGCAGCCCGCGCTGCCCATCCACTGGAGAGACGAGGACAGTCGCCCCCATGGACGCCAGCGTACAGAAACCGCTCCTGGGAGCGCCCAGCTCAGCGTATCAGACCTTCCCTCAGAGGGATGCCCACCAGCTGGACCGGGAATACATCAGGTAGGAGCTGGGCTCGCCCGGCTGCGCTCTTTGCCTGGGGGCAGGGGTCTGACTGATGGGAGCCCGGCTGTGGCCATTGCTCTCCGACAGGAGCATGTAGGAGTGACACACCTGTACTGGGGCTGCTCCTCTCCCTGCCTGTGCCCATTTCAGTGGGGTTGGAAGAAAGGCCTCATCTACTCCTCACTGTCCAGGACCATTATTGAGTCATCGGTATTCAGGTGGCACCCGGAGCCCCGGGCAGGACCCGGAGCCCTGCTGTGCCAGGCGCTGTACGCACACACTGAGAACCAGGCCCTGCCACACACAGCTCGCTGTTTAGTTTAAGACCAGAAGCAATGACTGAGTGTAACAGGTGCAGCTGGTTCAAACTGGCACTGCTCCCCTGGTATCGACAAGGCTATGCTGGGAATGCTGCGGGGGGGGCGAGATGAACTGCAAGGCGCTCACACGCTGTCCTGGGCTACCAACATGCACAGCTAGATGGCCCTGAATGGCCGGGACACCCCTCTGTCTGGCCCCACTGCGACAGGCCCTGTGCCCACAGGGAGGTCAGAGCCTAGCAGTCAGCGCCCAGAGCTCTGTTCCGCGGCTGGCTCTTGCTCAGATGAGCCAGACACCAGGACTGCTGGCTTTGCCAGGCTGGTGGGGCTCAATGCTAAGCGCACTGGGGGTGCGTGGGCTTGTGTGTGTGGAGGGGGTAGGGCTATAGGGAGAGGAAGGATTGTCCAGTGGTTAGGGATGTAGCCTAGGACCTGGGTTCAAGTCCCTGCTATGCCACAGACATCCTGTGTGACTTTGGGCAGGTCACTTCGCCTCTCTCTGCCTCAGCTGCCCGTCAGCACAACAGGGATGAAAGCCCTGCCCTGCTTCCCGGGGCGGGTGAGGGGGGGCTGTGAAGATGCCGACACTAAGGACTGTGAGGCGCTCACACACGACAGTAATGGGGGCCAGATAAGCGTCTCTGGGCACGTCTACACAGTACCAACAGACCCACAGCAGCAAGGCTCAGCACCTGGGTCCACTGACTCCGGCTTGCTGGGCTCGCGCCCTGGCTCTGAAACCCCCCGCGGAGGGGAGGCTCTCAGAGCCCGAATGATTACACTGCGAGTTGTAACTCCCCAGCACCAGCCCTGGGTGCTGAGACTCGCTACCACGGGGAGGGTAAGCTGGGCAGATGTGTGCTTTGGCCTGGGGTGGGACGCTGGTTTGGGTCCCGCTCTGGGAGAGTGACAGCTTTGTGTTCTGTGACTGCACGGCCCCTACCCAGGGTGCGCCTGGGCACTGGAACTAATACTAAACAAGGATTTACCAGCTTTCAAAAGGTAAACTGCCCCCAGACAGCCCTCTCCCCAGCTGCCAAGGGCTAAAGGGAGCGGAGGAACTGCAGTGCACCACATGGAGGCAGCCCCACCACCACTTCTGCATTCTTCAGCCTCGGGTACCTTAGGGTTCCTGGAACCTGAAAATCAGGTTTAAAGACCTCACTGACTTTGGAAGGACTCATATTTCACAGCCCTACCTGCCTGAAGTCTCCAGCTGCCCCCCTCCCCACCCTTATAACCCACAAGGTCCCGGTCTCCCACTCACAACGGGACAGCTTAAAGGGGGGACGCTTACACATGGGTCCATTATGTAGAAGGGACTACAGTTATGCATTAATAATAATGTTGTGTATAACGCGCCCCCATCCCCAGGCGCCGCTCAGGGCTCCACACAGCAAAAAGGCCGTTGACAAGCCCATTCCACCCACATGCTCCAGAATCTGTAACCAACAAAATCAAGGAGGGCTGGAAAAGAGGGGCCCAAAGGTAAAGCAGGGGTTGGGGGTGGGGCAATAGAAGTGCCTGGGAGCCTAGGTTAGGAAAATCCTTTGGGATAAATAGGGCTTGATCTCATTCTTTATTCTGTCGAGAGCAATGTTAGCTTAATACACCCACAACCACCCCCACCCCCAAACACCCTGTCCTCTCTTCCCTGCTCCATCTCTTGTCCTATCTTTCTCCCACAGAACCCTTCAAAACAAGCGGCTCTTTCTAGCAGCTTTCGCTGCCGTCCTGGGGAACTTCAATTTTGGGTACGCGCTGGTTTACACGTCCCCTGTGATCCCTGCCTTGGAAACATCCAACATCCCCGCCTTGAAAATCACCCGGGTGGAGGAATCCTGGTTTGGGGTAAGAAGTGGCGAGTCACCCCGCTGAGGGGAACAGCACACACATGGCAGCCAAGCTGCGAGAGGCGATTTATGCCGATCCCGTGCTGGGAGATGCTGGGTTAAAGAGCCCTGCATTTCCACACAGGACTAGTCGGTCCCAACCCGAGACTCCTTGAAGGGCCTGTTTTTCAGAGGGTGGGTGCTCAGCACTCTCTGGAAATCAGGCTCCCTTTTTAGGGATCTCAAGTTGGGCCCCCCCAAAAAGTGAGACCCCCCACAGTCACCAGGCGCTTTTGAAACCATAGGCCCAGGTGACTGTGAAAGGGCAAAATGTGCGTATGTCACTCCAGGGTGCCACCAGGTGGCTGGTGATGGCGGGGCTCTGACGGGGGAAGGAATGGAATGGCGGTCAAGGTGGGAGGAAACTTCCAGGGCTCTGGCCAGGATACACAGGAAGGCCCGAACGAGGGTTGGTAGGAGACAGCAGCTCCACCAGAGAGAGGTTTGCAAATCTGACAGTGACTCAGAGCCAGGCTGCTGGGAATCCACGGGAGTTTTGCCATTCCGGTCACTCGGGCCAGGCCGTCCCCCCCCCGACTTGCCGTGGGAGGGCACAGAGCCACCATGTACCTCCCACGCACCCTCCTTTTGCAGTCCGTGTTCACGCTGGGAGCTGCCGCCGGAGGCCTCAGCGCCATGCTCCTGAATGACCGCCTGGGTCGGAAGCTGAGCATCATGTTCTCAGCCGTCCCTTCTGCTGTCGGATACGCCTTCATGGGCAGTGCCCAGGGAGTCTGGATGCTGCTGCTGGGGCGGCTGCTGACGGGCTACGCAGGCGGCGTGACGGCGGCATCCATACCGGTAACGAAGCGTCAATGAGTTAACAGGGCAACGGCTCATTGCCTCTCCCCCTCTGCTCCTCCCTCCCTGGGGCATTAGCCGAGGTAGCAAGTTCGTCCACGGGCTGGAGACGGGGCTCCACATTTAATCCGCTGTCGAGGTTACCCCAGCCAGGCCTTGGGACTTGGGGTGCAATAACCAGGCCCTACTGCTGCTATAGTAATTGACGGCCTTGAACGTCACAGCAGGGTCAGGTGCCTGCTCGGGGCTGGTATTGGGACACAGGTGACTTCCCTTGCCGGGCACCGAACCCGCAGTGCCCTGTTACTCGGTGGCGATTGGGCAGCCTGTGTGCAATGAGCTGGGTGCTTCTCCCAGGGATGCCCCTCCTGGCAATCGCTGCAGAGAAGTCAAGCATTGAATGGGCCTGACCACTGAGCTAGGATACAGAGGGACCTAGACAAATTGGAGGATTGGGCCAAAAGAAATCTGATGAGGTTCAATAAGGATAAGTGCAGGGTCCTGCACTTAGGACGGAAGAACCCAATGCACAGCTAGAGGCTAGGGACCGAATGGCTAGGCAGTAGTTCTGCGGAAAAGGACCTAGGGGTGACAGCGGACGAGAAGCTGGATATGAGTCAGCAGTGTGCCCTTGTTGCCAAGAAGGCCAATGGCATTTTGGGATGTATAAGTAGGGGCATACCCAGCAGATGGAGGGACGCGATCGTTCCCCTCTATTCGACATTGGTGAGGCCTCATCTGGAGTACTGTGTCCAGTTTTGGGCCCCACACTTCAAGAAGGATGTGGATAAATTGGAGAGAGTCCAGCGAAGGGCAACAAAAATGATTAGGGATCTGGAACACATGACTTATGAGGAGAGGCTGAGGGAACTGGGATTGTTTAGTCTGCAGAATAGAAGAATGAGGGGGGATTTGATAGCTGCTTTCAACTACCTGAGGGGTGGTTCCAAAGAGGATGGATCTAGACTGTTCTCAGTGGTAGCAGATGACAGAACAAGGAGTAATGGTCTCAAGTTGCAGTGGGGGAGGTTTAGGTTGGATATTAGGAAAAACTTCTTCACTAGGAGGGTGGTGAAACACTGGAATGCATTACCTAGGGAGGTGGTGGAATCTCCTTCCTTAGAAGTTTTTAAGGTCAGGCTTGACAAAGCCCTGGCTGGGATGATTTAATTGGGGATTGGTCCTGCTTTGAGCAGGGGGTTGGACTAGATGACCTCCTGAGGTCCCTTCCAACCCTGATATTCTATGATTCTATGACTTGCCCAGTTGGTTCCTCCAGCTCTGGGGGAGGCGCAGGGAGGCAGGCAGTTTCTGTGCTCTGGCTAAGGAGAGAACTAAGGCCCTGAAAGCTGTCAGTTGGCACCTTTCTGCACCACTAGATACCCACGCCCACAGGAAGAAGTGAAGAGCTGGTCTTTGCCCTGTGCTGCCGTCCTCACCACAGTTACTTCCTCCTACATGCAGGATGCATTGACAGTAATATCAGCCCAGGGTGGCTCAAAATAGGGAAGACAGAAATTGGGCAAGACTGAAAATAACCAGGCTGTGGCCTTGCTCCGTTTCTTGCCCTGACAACAGAGACGACTCATTTAGAACAGGTTTCAGAGTAGCAGCCGTGTTAGTCTGTATCCGCAAAAAGAAAAGGAGGACTTGTGGCACCTTAGAGACTAACAAATTTGTTAGTCTCTAAGGTGCCACAAGTCCTCCTTTTCTTTTTTCATTTAGAACAGTGCTCCTGCTTTCCCACTGGCTTTTCCCAGGACGCCCCTGGCAGGCACGCTGCAGAGTTTGGGAAGTGACACACACCCCTTCCTGCCCTGTAACCACAGTGTTACTCTCTTCTAGGTCTATATTTCCGAGATCTCTCACCCTGGGGTCAGAGGAGCTTTGGGCGCCTGCCCTCAGATCATGGCTGTCCTTGGCTCCCTCATCCTGTATGCACTGGGCAAGTACACACCACAGAGTCTGTTTTCCTTTCGTATTTTGAGGGGTCACTGGGCAAATCATGAATATGTGAATGAAAAGAGGCAGAACCTAGTGGAAACTCCAGGAGGAGCTAGGATGACCACCCAGCTAAGGTCACCACAAGGGATGAGCGTGCATTGCAGTAGCATCTTGGCAGGAGACTGTTGAGTCTTGACTCTTCACTCTACAGAAGAGACCTGGGAAAACCGCAGCGGTCAGATGGGTACAGATAATGACCACATGCCCAGTGTGGGTAGATTTGCAGCAATTAAGTTGGTACTACAATGACTGGGCACCTCAGTCCCGGCGTCATCAAGAACGAAGAAAGGTTATTTCCACCACTGTGTGCAGCCCAGAACAGCTGGCCATGGGGGAACTCTTCTCCATTTCTATTGAGTGCTGCCAGCTGCTGGAGGCAGGACACCACATTCAATGGGCCCCTGGTCTGTTGGGAGGGCTGGGATGGGGTCCTGCAGAGAAAGGAAGGTCTAGCCAGCTGCCGTCTAGCTAGAGTGGGTTGAAACTTTTCCACTGAAACACTTTTTCTAATGGAAAATGGCTTTTCCAAACAGGATTTTTCATGAAAAATGGCCATTGTGTCCCAAATTTTGATGCTTTTGTTGAAAAACAAAAAAAAATTTCAATAGCTGAAAATGTTTAGTTTTTTTGACGAAAACAAACAAAAAATGATTTTTTTAATGAAACCCATTTTTTTATTTGAATCAAAACTTTTGGGGGGAGGGAAGGGGTGGGGAGATCATTTCCTGGGCAGCCCTGCCTTTAACATCCTGCCGCTGCTTCCTGCAGGCCTGAAGCTCTCCTGGCGCTGGCTGGCCGTGGCTGGGGAGGTGCCGGTTCTCACTATGATCATCCTGCTCTGCTTCATGCCCAACTCGCCCCGTTTCCTCATCTCGAAGGGGAAGAACGACGAGGCGGTCGGGGTGCTGCGCTGGCTCCGGGGACAGAACACGGATTTCCGCCGGGAATTTGAGCAAATCAAAGAAAGCGTGAGGCAACAGGTGCGGTGGGATGGGGCCACTGCACTGGGGCATGCTGGGAATTCATACAAAAAAACATTAGAAACACAGCCTCCTTTCCCCCCCTCCAGCTCCCATGGACTGTAAGCATTACCCTGTGTGCCTGACTGGGAGAAGCAGAGTGGCCCAAAGTACGGGGCCTCAGGACAATTGGGTTCTGTTTCCAGCCCTGCCACACACTTGCTGTGTGACCTTGGGCACATCACCTTCCCCTCTCTAACAGCGTAATGAGACTTCCCCACCACTGAGCAGAGCTTGGAGACCGAGGGATGAAAACGACCTGGGATTTCTCACCATTCACCTGCTCTGTTCTTTACGTGCCAGATCTGGCCCCATGAGTGCAAACGCGTGTTTACCTTTCCGCTCTCTGTCTGTGTGTCTAGACTTCTCTGTCTGTGTGTCTAGACTTCCCCACCGAGCAGAGCTTGGAGACCGAGGGATGAAAACGACCCGGGATTTCTCACCATTCACCTGCTCTGTTCTTTACGTGCCAGATCTGGCCCCATGAGTGCAAACGCGTGTTTACCTTTCCGCGCTCTGTCTGTGTGTCTAGAGCAGACGGATTTCCTGCGCGGAGATCAAGGACCCATTCATTTACAAGCCAATCCTGATCGCGGTGCTAATGAGGTTCCTGCAGCAGCTCTCAGGCGTCACCCCCATCCTGGTGTATTTGCAGTCGATATTTCAGAGCACAGCTGTGATACTGGTAAGTCCCACAAGGGACCTGACCTTCCACCTCCGGTCAATCATATGAGAACCCAGACAGCGTTTTGACTTTCAGCTAAAGCGTCGGGCAGTGGCCCCACTGCAGGAGACTGAACCCGATAGCCCCGCTCTTCAGAGCTGCTCTGATCCATCCTATGGCTCTTTGGTCCATGGCCTAGGTATTCAAGTGACTAGTGATTCTGGAGGCTCAACCTGAGACAGCTTAAAGGGGGCTGGTTGTACAGAAGGCACCCGCCCCCGGAAAACCAGGCCCCTCTAAGGAGTCTCAGGTAGGGCACCAATAAATTGAGATGCTCAGAATCACTAGTCACTTTGCAAACTGTAGGCCCAGCATGTGTCATCTTCTGTCCCTACCCTCCAGTCATTCTGAGCCTGGAGAGGCTCCACAGGTCATCCCCAATGGCACAGGATGGACCGGGCGGTGAGGGGCATGTGGGTTCTAGTCAACACAAAGTATTTGTTCTGGGGTATTGGCCAATGCTCCCCAAAGCTGTGCCCTACCTTGGGGGCAGGACGGCTTCCCCGTTCAGCCACCTCAGTCTGCTACAGAACATTTTAATGGCATTAGTGCTGATGTCCCAGTTCCAGTCAGGTGCATTCTGCCCAGGAAAACGTCCGTGGCAATTGCCGGGTGCCTGCATCAAACCCAACTCATGGGCAGGGCTGAAGAGAGATTCCCCTTTGCTGCTCTGTCCAATGCTGGGTTGGACAGGACGTGGTTCTCTGACTCACACCACCCTGCCCATCGCGGAGGCCCTCTTCACTCCTCCTGCCAAGCCTTCCACCTCTCTCCTCTTTGCTCCCCGCATGCACTGGGTTGGGGAAGAGCAAAGGCAAGAGTTAAAGGCAAAAAACCTATTATCCCTGTAGAGCAAACATACACCAAGCGGAGCCTCCTCTTTGTGCACTGCAGTCAGGGAGAGAGGGAGACCCCAGGCTTCCAAGGGGGAGTTGTCTCTGGCCATGTCTGGCCCCCTGCTGTCCCAAAGCCATGGCCATAAACGGTGGACTCCATGATTGCCAATGGAAATTCACTCACAGAACATGGGGGACAGAACTTGGGACCTTCAGCTTCAAAGTCCCAGGCTTCTAGCATTGGAGCTAATGGCAAAATTCCTAGGAGGATGTGGGTGACAGCCCCATACTCCAGCAGATCTGATGTGCCAGCCATTGGTGGGCGACAGTGGGACACAGACACACACACTAGTCGTACTTTACCCCAGGCAGTTGGCAGCCTGGTTTATTAGATCTAACTAAAGGGACCATTCTTCTGTGGCTTTCACAGAAGTAACAGTAGCTAAGTTCCATGGCTACGACTGAAGGTGATGCAAGCAGGAACCTGTACTGCCTCAGATCTTGCTTCTCGCTTTCCTACTATTTGATTATTTGTTTGTTTTTACTGTAGAAGCCGGAGTACGATGCAGCTATCGTAGGGGGAGTTCGCTTGGCATCTGTGCTCATCGCCGCCGTCTCTATGGACAAAGCTGGGAGGAAAATTCTTCTCTTCGTATCAGGTATGTCTAGCCCCAAATTCCAGAGAGTTTTATCTCCCGGGGTGCTGGGCGAATGCTAATTCATGAGATGGTACAACCGTGGGGTGCTCCAGTGGCTCGTTTCCTTTGGAGCAGAGGGGGACAACACAGCTCACCAATGGGTCTGACTCCCGATCTCAGGCCTGTGTAAACCAGGAGGCATAACTCCATGGAACTCGCTGGAGCTCCACGGGGAGAAAACTGGGCCTCACCTCTTCATTTCACCTTTTTGTTTCTTTATTCTCGCTCTCTGTTAACAGCTGGGATCATGTTTGCCTCAAACCTGATCCTGGGGCTCTACATCCACTACATGTCGCTGCCTTCTCACAACTCTACCATGGCCGTCATTAATGGAACCCTAGTGAATCCAGAAAGCCTTACTGCAGAGCCCTCCAGCTACATCACCCTCATCCCTCTGGTGGCTACCATGCTCTTTATAATGGGTATGAACAGAAGCTACAATCCATATTCCAGCTGCAGAGGTGTCCCCCGTCCGGGACTAACCATCCTGGGCCGGTGTGATATGAGCTGGGGAGGTTCCACGCTGGGGCAGGGACTGGGGCAGGAATGAAATGTTTCTCGGGAAAAACAGTGTTTATGTGGAGACCCTCAGAGGTCTGGGGTGTTGGAACCAACGGCATAGGCAGAGGAGGGGATCAGAGGCACAGTGAATGTATTTGTCACATGAATATCACCACCACTTAGGGGGCTGTAATCAGCAAGGGCTGGATGTGAAGATGGATCCCTCACTTTGAAGACCGGCTAGTCTTGGTAGAGTGCTGGTTGAAACGGAAATAGGAGCAGTCATGGGTCAGGGATTGGCAGGGAACTTTTCCACTCCCTACCCACTATGGTCCTCTGCTTTTCCCCTGATCTCTCCCTTTTCTCCCACCAGGTTATGCCATGGGCTGGGGTCCCATCACCTGGTTGCTGATGTCAGAGATCCTCCCTCTGAAGGCCCGTGGGGTGGCGTCAGGCCTCTGTGTCCTCGTGAGCTGGCTCACGGCCTTTGCGCTGACTAGATTCTTCCTGCTGGTCGTGGTGGGTACAGCTCGTGGCGGCACGCGGAGGTTGACCTGAGGGAGGCCTTCGGGGGTTGGCTCTTTATTTATTTATTTAGTATCATTTTTCTAACTGGTGCTAGGCCCTCCAAGGCTGCCACCCCATGGGAGCAATATGGCAGAGACAGCCAATCCTGTCAGGGACGCGGACAAGGGACACCGCTCTTGGAAGGCAGCACAGTCAGGAGAGCTGTAGCACAAAGATGAGACCTATTTTATCCAGGCATTGGTAGCTCACCAATGCCCGCTCACACCATTTTATCGCAACTCTTGCGATATTTGGTGTTTTGCTTAAAGCCCCAGCTCCTGGAGTCAGGTGATGACCTGAGACTCTCAGCTTTCTTTTGTTTTTTAAAGTATATTTCTAGCCCTCATGATTGCAGTGCAAAAGCTTGAAACCATGACCCGAGTGCGACTTTGAGGCCCAGACACCAGAAGGCAATAGAAAGAACCTGAAAATCATTGTTATTTTTTTAAATCTCTTGATTCAGGCCCCAAAATATCATACCTGGGGTTGGCATTACGAGCTTCCTCCAGAACTTCAGACACATGAACACTTAGTTGGCCCACATATGACTTTCCACCAGGAGGTCTCCAAATGTCTTGCAAAGGAAAGTCAGTGTCACTGTCTCCATTTTACAGATGGAGAAGCAGCAAGTGGAAGCTCAGGGTCACACTTCAGAGCTGGGAATACAACCCAGCTGTTTTGACTCCCTGCCTGGTGATTTATCCACTGGACCACACTGCCTCCCATTAGCCCCTTCCATCCAAGGCACACTAAGCATATTAATGAAACAAGCCTCACTGTCTCCACATTAGAGGGGGAAACTTGGATGCAGAGAGATTAGGTGACCTGTGCAGGCCCACACACCAATTTAGTGGCCGAGCTGTGAACCAGCCTCATATCTCCTGCCCCCACATCCCCACGCCCGTGCCTTAACCCCAAGACTATCCTTAGGTCTGTAAGAACAGTCATACTGGGTCAGACCAACAGTCCATCTTGCCTAGTATCCTGTCTTCTGACAGTGGCTGGTGCCAGATGCTTCAGAGGGAGTGAACAGAACAGGGGAATTCTGAGTGATCTATCCCCTGCTGTCTAGTCCCAGCTTGTGGCAGGGAGAGGTTTAGGAACACCCGGAGCAGGAGGTGCTTCCCAGACCATTTTGGCTAATAGCCACTGATGGACCTATCCTCCGTGAACTTCTCTCATTCTTTTTTGAACCCAGTTGTACTTTCGCCCTATACAACATCCCCTAGCAATGAGTTCCACAGGTTCACTGTGCATTATGTTCCTCTCCATGTATGATGTCTGAGGACACAGAGGGAAGGTGTCGACTTACCGCTTCCCTTCATTTTCCCCGGTATTTTGCTAACCCACTCTTTCAATGGCTCTCGGCTCCCGAGTCACGCGGGCATTTGTCCTATTTTCCAGCAAGACTTCGGCCTTGAAGTCCCGTTCCTGTTCTTTGCGGTCATCTGCGCAGGGAACCTCATCTTCACAGGTTGCTGTGTCCCAGAGACCAAAGGCCGATCCCTGGAGCAAATCGAATCCTACTTCAGGACTGGGCGGAGATCCTTTATGAGGAACCACATATGAGGATCCTTTAGGAGCACCACCCTTCAGCTGAGCTTTCAAAACAAAATCTGACATGCAAGGGCACAAGAAAATTTTTGTGCTGGCATTTTCTCTGTGCCAATAAGGTGTGCATACATCAGGCATGCAGGCTTGTTGGTGACTTGTTGGTGACTGTCTAATTTTGGATGGAACCATTGTCTTTGAGAATCACACACTGAAATTTCACTTCCTTTTCATGAGTCACTCAACACTAGTCTAAGGGACCTTTGGTCTCTGGACAGAATGTTAACGACCTGGAATTTCTATCTGTGCTGCTAATTTTAACCTACATAACAATACCAGCTCCAACACAGTACTGGATGTAAAGAGAGCTCCTTAAAGACAAACAAACAAGAGTCTGTGGACCAGAGAAAACCAGCAGTTTCTTAACACAGCCTGTAAGAGCAAAGCAGCCCAGGGGAAGCAGGATTTGAAACAAGAGCTTACATTGTCGGCCACTGCCCAAGGTGGGCTGGCAAAGGCCCCTCATGAATTGTAACAATAAAGTGGTTTTGACGCCAATGATCGTGGGCCATGAGACATCACGTTGATTTGTAAGGAAAGGCTCTAACACTCCAGGGCAGCACCCTGCACTGCGGGAGACCATGGTGTCCTGATGACCCCTCCCAATGCACAGCTCCCAGACACACACCAGGGAAATGCCCGTTCTTTTGTGCAGCGTCACTTGGAGTCTTACAAGCACAGTGATTTCAAAAAAGGCAGCAAGAGAGAGAGTTTTTCATATAAAAAGCTGCCACATTTTATTGCTAAAAATGCACATTACACCAGATGCCTAATAAACAGGAGTGAGACCAAATGCAGTCCACACAGAAAGGACCCTTAGAACAGAACAAAGAAAGGGAATAGAAACAAAAACTAAGAGCTAGTGCAGCTGCCCTACTGCAGGAAGACACATTAGGTGCAGACAATACTTTTGCTGTAGCTACAGACAGGTCCTTCTCCTGCCAGGGATTGTTCTAACAAAGTGGGCATGAGAGCTGGTTTTCTTCCCATGTTCAGCCACTGAAGGAGGCAGGGGAACGCCTCTCTTGGAGATGTGTTGGCCCTCCCATCTTTGAGATTTCAGCTACACATGGTTAGCAACACCTTGCCACCACCATCCTCAGCAACATCACCACAGGGCTACCCCAGTCTCTTGCAGGCTGATGGTCTCACTATAGCACCAGCCAATACCCACACTATCCCTGGGTTAAACACAACCATGCAAGTAGCTTGTAAAGGTTTTGAACGGGAGCCCATACCAAAGGAGCTTGGAGTTTCCAGAACAGCAAAGACCCAGGTTTGGACTGACTGTCCAACCATTCATCCAGCCACATGAACACTGTATCCGCAGCTGACTCACTGACTTGCCTGCTCCCTTCCATTACTAGTACACCTCAATGCACTGGAACTGGGAGCAGAGGGATGAAATTAAGGCATAGTACATTTGGGCTGGATATCAGGAAAGGTTTCCTAATACTGAGACCTCCTGTATTAGACTGGAGAACAGTCCCCACGGGCAGTGGTGGAACTCCCACCAGATGAGACATTTCACACTGCATGGGACAGATGAGTAGAAGGTAGAGATGGGTCAAAACCAGAATTCCAGATCCAAACTCCTCTGAACTTCAGGAAATTTCAGATCCAGACCCAAACTTTGCAGCTCAGGCCCGTATCTACCATGCACTGGCTAGTGTGACCCAGCACTAAGGGTTCCCTGCAGCTCTCACTTGAGTCACGGATGCTCAGCACCTTTGGAAGTCCTGCCCAAGACTTCTTCCGTCTCAAATGCATACGGACCAAATCCTGGAGTCTCTGAAATGCTCATGGAAGCCAGTGGGCATTTTGCCTGAGTCAAGAGCGAGTGAGGCCAGAGCAAGAACCTCAGAGTTTGGCCTAAGGGAGTTCTGCCTGAGTATAAAACTGGGAAGGATGGTGGGTTGTTCTCTATGATGAGAACTTTATTCTTTGAGTGTAGCTTCTTTTCCTTTATACCCACGATGGTCCACGTTCTTCTATTAAGTTCAAAGTCTCAGAAATCACAGTGGCTCTTTCCGGAGGTAGAATGGTCTTTTATTCACTGCATACACAAAGAATCAAGTAATTAGTCTTACAAAACCAGCACTCGCCACCTTCTAGAGCAGCAAGGCCTGGATACACAGTATAAATGAAGCTTCAATTCTTCCCTTTAATGCCCAGTGTAAAATTGTCCCAGATGGAAATGGAGCTTGCAAATACAGTGCTGTCACCTTTTATGAATAAAATAGATGAGAGATTAGTAACTTTGCTTACGCCGTGCAAATGCACTTTGGGAACGAGAATTGCCCAGACAGCACTGTGTCTGGTGGTGGTGTGCACATTTGCACCCAGTACCTATGTATCGTTCGTTTGCAATGCCAAGCTCTTTGTAGCCAATGAATTCCCATCTCTCTGTAATTTGCACATTATACAACCTCCTTCCCTCTGGTCAGTTCTCTCCCGAGAGGCCTTTCCAGCATGACCTAGCGCACACAGAACACAGAGGTTCCTTGTCTGTAAAGACCCCTTGAAGTGTGGGCCTTCAGCCTACACATCACCAGTGTCTGAAGGGTTAGCGTCAGGGTGGGACTGAGACTGTGCACTCCCTGGGGCAGGTACTGGATCTGCATCTATGCTTGTACAACTCCCAACCCGCTGACAGTGCTCAGCAAGTACTATTAATAACCACCCAGCACTGGGAATGGATCTACTCACTACTGTATTCATAATGTTATCTTCAGGGTTTTATCTACACCCCCAAAAGTAATTGCTTATCCATGCTAGGATCAGAGCCAGCCTAACTACAACTGTGTTTACTGCTGCTGCTCCTAAAAGCCCTTTATGTGGCATGTCTAACACAGAATTCAGCAGGAAGGAGGGTTGTCAGCCTGCTGAAGTCTACAACCATGATAACAACCATCACAGGGTCATCTGCAGCACGAAGAGGGGCTTGGGCTTTAAAGCCCAAGTTTCCAAAAGGATCCACTAATTTTGGGTGCCCCATGCTGGTCCTGAAGTCAGTGAGATCTGTGGGTGCTCAGCAGCTCTGGAAATCAGGTCCTAGGTGTCTCGAGACACCCAAATTTAGTGGACACTTGAAAACTCTGGCCAAAGACTTGTACTCCATCCTTACAGAAACCTCCTTATGGCTCCAATTCATGTGCTTAACTCGGAGCCTGTTCTTAAGGCTCATTGAAGTCAGTGGGACCTAAGCACATGCCTAAGTGCTTTGCTGAATTGGGGCCTGACCCCAGACACTGGGGCTCAGAGCACAGGATGATCTCATGAGACTTCCTACCGAGGTCTGGGGTAGTTTTGCCTTTGACACCAATGGAAGCAAGATCAGACCATGCAAGCTGGCCAATCTTAGTAAATACTGTAAAGGTCAAAAGGCGCTCGGACGTTTTTGTAACAGGGGCCTTCTGAAAACCCCGTACTGACAGGAGTCTAGGCACAGCATGGTGAATGAAGGACCTTGTCCCTTCACTGGCTTACTTCTGTGGGTGTAGATTAGACTCAGTGTTATTCTATCGCATCTGCGTTGCTTTTAATTTCCTTTTATTAAGGCTACTACTCACAGAACAAAGCAATCACCACTAATTTATGCCAGCAACTATGTGCTTTACTCTGCGATATCCTTCTACTGAATGCGACTCTAACTTCACCAAACCCCATTGAAATCAACGGTGCAAGTGTCCCATTTACTCAGTGGGACATTACACTTTTTTTTTTTAAATCTAGTAAAGATATTGCATAGGGACACTGTCCAGACTGCTCAAAGGACAGGGCTGCTGTCACATGACAGGCTCCATCACCAGTTTTATTCTGAGGTATCCTTTAAACACAGAATCACTGTATGGTATCCATGCCATGAAGGGCCCACTGACATTAGTGGTACAAGTTATCCAGGGTGCCGTGCTACCTAGTAACACAAACACCCCGGAAAGTCAATGCTCCATGTGCAGGAAGGTCCATGTACGGTAACGCGCCTCGAACACAGAGCTGGTGGCTCAAACATGGGATCGGACCCTTTATTAAACTCAGTGGCATCTGGGTTGACAAGTCACAGAGCGTGATGTAAAGTGATGGAGGCACTAAGAGCCTAGGGAGAGGGGACGACAAAATAGCTGCTGAAGACTGAGCTGCAGGGACGCATGCGTGTCTGCGAGTCTGTCTGTCTGACTGTGCAATAAACCCTGTGCTAGATTCTCGGCTGGTGTAAATCTGCAAAGCTCCTTTGACTTTAATGGAGTGACACCAATTTGCACCCGCTGAGGCTTTGGCCCCGATAACCATAGGAGGCACCATCAGCTCACCCTACAATACACACACTCATGCCTTCCAGCAAAATAAAACCGGCAGTCTGATTTTCCCACAAGCCAGGGCCCAACCCTGATCCCACTGAGGTCAGTGAAAGTTTTGCCATTGACCTCAGTGACTATAGGGTCTGTGCTAGCCACAACGGTATCTGAACTGGATTGTTCAGCCATCCTGTGAACACAACTTAAAAAGATCATGTCACACGCTGACTGCAGATGGAAGGCAACAGGTCATCTGGTCGGTGAATCCCTTTCCTGAGTGTGTAATAAACAGCACCTCACTCTAAAGGCTGAAATAGTAGTTCAGAGCATTTTCTTACAGTAGCTAGGGCTCCGCTCTTTGCCCAGAGAGAGACCTGAAATTAAACAAAACAGGCCCTTGAACTATGGCGAAACACTGTCCTCTGTGAAATAGTGTTTCCTTCTATGTCCCATGAGAACAGTCCCAGCAGAAGTACTTAAATACCCCAAAATAAATTATTCTTCCTGTTCCCAACCAGAACAAAAAGCAACAGAGTAAAACAAAACAATAAATTCAATGTAAACCTATGATCAGAACAGAGTGTAGGGGTCAGGGTTGAGAATAGAGGGAACTGGACTTTGAGAATGATCCATACCCTCCAGAAGAGAATCAAACGGAGAATGCGATTAGGGCACCGTTTATGTAGCCTGTTGTATGGAAGAAGTGCATTGTGTAGTCCACCCAGTACAAAAGTGGTGAATGTGGATTTGATCCTGCACCACAGATGTCAATGGGAGTTTCACCACTGAGCTGAATGGGAGCAGGATCAGAGCCTGTGTGCCCAAGTAGAAAGTGGGTATGATGTATGTTAATTACTAAAGAGCCTTTTATTTTTTTTCCTGTCAGGAAGATCCCAAAACTGCACCACCGAGAATCCTCAAGCCCTGCTCTAAAATGTAGCCACCTCTGGGGTAGCACCCGGCAGCAGTTTAACAGTGCACAGCAAAAGGGTAAAACAGGAAGTGACAAACAATTGAATTCATTTGGTTACATCTGTAGGATGTGTAAAGACTTCTCAAGTGCCGTGTACAGTTATAGCTTATTAAAACCCCAAAGCTATTATGTTGCCTTTTTCTTCTGTGAGCTAAGAGCCACATTTTGCTCTCAGCTAAACCAGTGTAACTCCAGAGTCATCCGCTGAGCTCAGTGGAATTAATCTGGATTACTCAGAG